CAAGTCGCTAAGACTTGTAGCAAAACGTTGTTTGGATCTTCATCTGCTACCTGTCAAGGGCAGGAAAAATTGTTCTTGCTTCACATGTGGAACAGTTAAAATTGGTTTTGCAGACTCATGGTTTGGTGATTTGAGAAGTTTTGGCATGAACTTACAAGCACCTGCTTTGTTTTCTTCGTCAGCCACCAGATCAACACCTTCACATGCGCTGCTTTAAACCGAGAGCCGATTTCTGCGTAGTCAGAGCCACCAGTGTTGGCCTCGCTCAAGATAGGCTTTCCGGGCACATAGAACCTCAAGCGCACAGCTGGCACAAGCAAGCCATAAAGTTAAGTGAGGGCACAGTACCACGCACCACCAAACAAGACAAACTTACTTCTTCACTTTTACAGGTAACCCATGTTTTTTGCAAGTTTCGCTGACTTCATCATGCACAGCACTGAGGATTAGATCGAGATCGGTCAACCCCAAAGAATCATAGCAACCTTCTCGGATGAGAACACGAATCCCGCTGGCAACGAGGTCACGACCTGTTCCCAAGAACACGTTGTGTAAAAGATCCCAGCTGACGGTTTCAAGTCTGAAACCAGGAACTGCTATCCACGGCGAAGGTACGCCTTCCAACCTAAGGTAGTCCTCATGGCTAAGAAAGGTCATTGACCATGCCTCTGAAGTACCAAAGTTCCTGTAGTTCATCCGATCGCAGCACTGCTGGCCAGAGCACGCCAAACAGCTGTCGCAAAGCCTTATGTGGTTGTGCTTTGTGGGTCTATATGTATATACATATTTATGTATATATGTTGTTTTATCACACCAATTTACGGACCATTTCTCTATAGATGCAGGGTCAAGGGTGAACAAACACAAACTGAAACCTCTTCTAAGTTTGTATAGAGGAGGAGCAAGTTGCACTGGTACCACCTCTGAAAAAAGTTCATTTGGTGTCTTGCCTTCAAGTCCGCTTTCATTGTGAAGTAGCAAGCCCTGAGCTGAATGCGACTTGCGCAAACAAAGAAAACCTTGGCTCTATGAAATGAAAGCCTACACCAAAACCCTGAGACAGCAACCCAAACAATACAAGCTTCCGCCACCCCTTCGCAAGCTGCTGCCCTCTTATTTGATATCTGTAGGATCGCTTGGGGAACTCCTCTCCATAAAATCCCGTCACAGGAGCGACCGCATCAGAAGCGCATTTGATGCTCCAGGCGAAAACGTCAGCAATGATCCTCTCGACCCCACTGCGGACCTGGGCTTGCTGTCGACATCCCGGCCCTCAAGAAGAGAGACAAAAATGGTCTTTCTAAACCACTTCCAAAACAAAGATGTTATGCGTAGCCCTGGTACATTGTGACTCTTCATGTGCCGCTCATGGATAACTGCGAAAGGAAACTTGTAATGAAGAACATCTTTGATTTCCCCCTGAGATCCCCAGAAACTCGAAAAGGACCATACGAAACACTCATCATCCCTCTTCATTGCCGCACCATCACCGTGGACACAAAGGGGGATCACATCGCTCATGTTGTTGCCTTCCATGATGCTGAAGATTGGGTGCTCTCGCCATCCATCTAGGTTCCGAACGTGGCTCCAGAACTTGTCTCTAGAACACTTGTCTAGGTGACCGAGAAGTGTCGAGTCCACCACGTGTGGCGCGTCCGCTTTCATCAAGCAGTCCAAAAGTTCGTGAGGTAGAAGAACTCGCACCTGGTACAAACACAACACACGTTCCCCTCCCTGTACCTTTTGACACGTACAGAGAAGCGTCACTGAGAACCATTGAGACCCATTGACAACCATAACACAAGCCAGAAATGACCTGGACTGCCCGGGTCTTGGCGCCATCAACCTAGGCAGCGCGCAGTTGAACTGACGACGAAGCTTGAATTGTTGACCAAAGTTGTTTTGTACTCTTTGGACTATTTGCAATCAAAAATGTACTACTAAATTTCAGAGGGGCCTGCAAGTTCATTGTAACTGCGTAGGACTCGAGTTTGAACCCATAGAGCCCTCCAAGCCATGTGTGAAGATCCCTCTCGTTGTTTCCAGGGCGATCGCCACTACAACCAAGTGAGCTAAACGCCGCCACCTCATCACGCCAAATCAGTGTTTCTATCCTACAGTTAGTTCGCTATTTTCACAACACATACTTCAACATACTCGAACAGCAAAGAACAGGGTTTGCATGAGTCAAGCTACAGCTTCTACTGGTAGCTTGTGGTCCTGTACCACAGATCGCGCTACGTCCGCAGCAGCTGTAATGCTCATATGGCCTCTAGAAATAAGGTCGGTGAGTTTCTCAACAGTCGCCACATCCTCGTAATTCTCCAAAGCTACCCGCTTTCGCTTCCTCTGCAGGGTATAGAGGTCAAACCCTATAGTCGATGAACCCTGAAATTGAATCCCAGCGAAACGAAGGTTTGGGTATTGAAACCTGCGGCAACAGGCCACTTCGCTCCCATGGATCCACTTTGCTCCCTGCGTGGTCCTCGACGAAGTCAAGGCAGAGCCTGGCCCGGCACAGGGATCATGAATGTTTTGTAGAGGAACTTTGGATTCCAGGACTTGACTTCAATTCCCTTAGAACTGTACTGCAACGTTTCGCCACCCCTGCCCAAAAGTAAAGACGATTCTGCAGCCGGAGCTTCTTTGGAATCCCCGAACATGGCCCTCAAAGAAGCACAGATGGAATTTGTTTGTGAACTGTGAAGCAAAATTCTGGTGCTTAGGTATCATAGAGGACCATGCATCTAAGGTAGACTCCAAGCTCCACTGCTTGCAAGTGTTCTCACTTGACTGAAGCCCCTAGCTCAAAAAGCGATCTCGTATATACAAAATGCCTCATACAGGCTCCCGTTTTACAACCACCGTTTTGGGTGAGTCCGTCTTCTTCTTCCGAGTCTCTTCCTTGGTCTTTTTGGTTTTGCTTTTCCCCGGAGGTCGCAGGAGAGCCGCTGCTGCCACCTCAGGAGCGGATGAGAAGGGGCCAAATGAGGATTGCATGTCTCACATGGTGCTATAGGAGAACGTTGAACACTGTGCTTTCATGTCTTACATATGTTCATAGATCGATGTCAAGCTATCCAAAGGTTTGGACACACCACTGCCTTGGACTTCTCACCAAAGGATTTCAGAGTCTCCATGTGCTTAAAGAGCCCTTTGAATGCCTTTTCATCACCTTTTGCGTCCAATGTTTTTTGGAACTTCTTGAACAGGGACTCAAGAGCCTTTGCGTGCTCCAAGAGCTGACCAGACAGCTCACCTGCGTATTCCACGCTTGACAGCTTGATTGATTGGGTTCGAGCTGTCGCTGCCAGTGGCAGCAGTTCCCCCATACATGTCTTGACCTTCTCCTCAAGGGTTTGCGGTGTTGCATCCTCAGCCACCGGCTTCTCGGGCTTGGGTTTCTTCTTTGGGGCTGCCACCTGGACACAAAGGCCACAAGCGTGGCAATTCACAATCTAAAATGGACATCGTTGAAGATTTGTAGTTCATGCATACCATATCATATAATCACTCCAACATTCACAAAACGCACCCTGTTTGAGAAGACTGTTTGGAACCCAGATCGCACTCCTTTAAGGAGACTGGTTTGGAAGGATTGGGGTTTGAAACCACTCCCTTTGACTCCCTTGCGCTCGCCTTGCCGAGTGCATCCAAGAGTTCTTTGCTGCCCTGCTTTGCTGCTGAGACTTTGGGAAGTGCACCAGGCCGGAGAATTCCTTCGTCTTGGTCTGTCAGTGCTTGGCGAAGCTCCTCTGACACTTCTGACTTGGCCTTCAAAGACATCTTTTCAGAAGTTTCATCATCCCTTCGAACTTTTTCCCCGATCCTCATGAAGAACCAGGACTCATCATCGTCGCCGGGGAAATCCTCATCTTCGTAAAACAATCCTGCCGCCTTTCGACGACCGATGAGATTCTTGAACTTTTCCTCCGAATACCTGAAAGGGTTGCTTTGCAGAAGAATGGGAGTGTTTTAGCTTTATAATATTGTAAGTTGTGTATATATTGTTTCCATGTGTTTTGCAGATAACCTTCCCAACAGTACCACGCAAAAAGCTTTCCAAAGTTTCGAGACTATACAAAGACGAGACGCTGTTGTCTCAGGATTTTGCCCTGCACTGCTTGCCAGCCCTTGGTCGTGCGGTTCCGTTGGGTGATGTCACGTTCCACATGCAATTTGCAAGATTGCCAACTCATGCCAGTGTCCATCCATATGTTGAATAGCTCCGTCTTCTTTGCGGCGTAGTACTCTGACAATTCCTGTGGAAACTTGGCACGGTTGAGTGCTTCACGACAGAACTTGTCCCACTCTTTCTTGTGCGTTGCGCTATTCTTGAGGTCCTCCGAGGCCATGGACGTAGACTTAGTGACAGGCACAAGAGCATGACAGGGCGTTGTCTTCTCATCCTCGTCTCCTTCCTCTTCTTCATGTTCACCTTCCTCCTCCGCTTCTTCTCCATCTTCCTCCTCCTCCTCCTCCTCTTCTTCTTCTGCATCATCTTCGCCGCTTTCGTTTGCTTCTGCATCATCATCCTCCTCCTTTGCCTCACCCTCACCTTCACCTTCACCCTCGCAAGCGTCCTCTTCATCTTCATCTTCACCCTCACCCTCATCTTCATGAGGCTTTGTCTCCTCATTCTCGCTCTCCTCATCCTGTTGGCTTCCATCCTCACCATCATCGTCGCTTTCCATCTGATCGCCCAACGCCTCTGACAGGCTGTCCAGGCTGTCCTCACTGTTTGGTTCCTCATCATCAGGCAAATTGTCCAGCACATCCACAAGCTCTTTCAATTTTGCCTCAGCTTTTTGCTTTGCTGTGGGAGGTGTTGAAACTACAGCTTCACGCTGTGGTGTTGCTGGCACTGAAGGTTTCTCACATGGTGTTACCGGACGTGCATTGGCTTCCTTGCTTGCCTCCTTTGAATTCTTTTTCTCCTTGATCTTTCCCTTATCTGTCTTCTCTTTCTCCTCTTTATTCTTGGCCTTGTCTCTTACCTCCGCTTTCTCTTCCTTCTCCTTGATTTTCTTATCTTTCACCTTCTGTTTGCCCTCCTCTTTTGCATTCTTCGCTGAGTGTTCCTTCTTCTCTCTTCTTGCCTTCTTTTCTTCATCACCCTTCTCATCACCCTTCTCAGCTGTCTTTCTTTTCTTCTCCTCATGCGTCTTTGCCTCCTTCAATGCGCCCTTCCTCTTCTCACCCACAGGCCACCTTGGCTCAGAAGATTCAGTTGGGAAACTCACCCTCTTGTTCTTCGCACTTTTCTCTTGCTTTCTCTTCACATCACGGCTTGCCTCACCACCACTCTTCGGTGGCTTCTCTGCTTTTTCAGAGGGCTTCGCCTTTTTCACACGCTCTCGAGATCTGCCTCGGCTCTCTTCTTTCTGCCGCTTGCCACCTTTCTCCTTCCCCGCTTCCATCTTGGTTTTCTTATCATCTTTTGTCTTCCTCTCTGAGTTCTTGCTGTCGCTCTTCTTGTCTTTCTTTTTCTTCTCCTTCAGAGCTTGTTCATCGCCCATGCCACCTTTCCCTTTGATGCGAAAGCGAGGTTGGTCACACGGTGCAGTCGGCATGATTTGCTGGAACCAAGAGCTGAGAGCACAAGCTGCAAGCTTGCATCAGAAAGGATTGCCTTTGGAGCTTGACCATGACCCTCCCTGCATGTTTTTTTAAGATACATTAAGATACATACAAGTCGCAACCATTCTCGACAAATCGCAACTTTTTCTCGGCAAATCGCAACTTCCTTTTGGACCCGTTTTTCTTGAAAAAATATGGGGTTGAGAGTGTTTCCTCCAGTTCCCTTTAGATTGCTCTAGGGCTGACTCCTGCGGGAACCCTGGTTGAGAGTGTTTCCTCCAGTTTCCTTTAGATTGCTCTGCGGGAACCCCTCCCAGCAGGCCTGCAGAAAGTCGCTCATCTCCTCCAAGAAAGAGGCGAGGCATCTGGACCTGGAGCATGTTGGCCACTGTCACTCCACTTGTACATGTTGTTCCTCTTTGTCACATGTGGTTTGATTCTGATGCCTTGATTGGTTTCCAGCAAACACGATTGATGTGTGAGAAAAGGTCCATAAATCCTTCCAACCTGAGGGAGATCGCTATGGCCACTACAAAAGTGGCATGTTCAAGTGACTGATGATTGGATTCAATGTTTGGTTCTCCTCTCGCGCTGATACCATTGATAGCCAACTGATTTGCAGGCCTTCCCAAAGCACAGATCACCTCGCAGATCGCCCAAAGTGTGGCCACCTAGCCAGATGGGGCAATTCCATGGGGCGGTTGGGGCGATTGGGAGATTGTGTGGAGGTTGCGAAGATTGTGGGTGGGGAGATTGTGTGTGTGCATGTGAAGGTGGGAAGGTTGTCAATCTTTATCATTCAAAGCCCAAACACAGTGTCATTGACTCCTGGTTTACGATCTTCACACCCTCCCAGTTGCAGTCTTGATTAGCTGCTAGCTATACGATCAGCTGCGCATCTAATTGACAGAGGCCAGTGCAGAAGCCCACCAAAAGATATCTGAACAATTCTGAACACACGGTTAGGTTGGTCATGAATCCATCGTCGTGTGAAGGGCCGTTGCACTGCAGCCGCTTTCGCAGTGCATGAGATGAGAAAAACCTCGACGTTCACTTTGAAGTGAGGTAGGAGATCACACTAGCTAGCTCAGCGCCGTCACTCCATGCTTTGTTGATGCTAGCCCTGCCATCCAAGCGGTTCGAACTCTTCCTCGCTGCCACTAGAAAAGCCTTGGCTTGCCGCTTATTGGCCTTCTCATGCAAGGTCCGCAGCTTTGCAAGCGAGATGCCGAACCTCACAAAGATCATCTCTTGAGTGGGGGCACTCAAGAACCTGTTTTGGTCAGAGGATCGTTGGAGGTTGTGTGAGTAGGGGCTCCATTTTGGGGGCAACTGAATAGGTGCTCCATGTTGGAACTATAGGAGCAGAAGCTGACAAGCCTTTGTGAACTTTTTGAAAAAGAATAAACAATTCCACCCAAGTATCTGTTTGGGGTAGCTCTGGCTCTTTTTCATGTCTCGCCCACCATGGAACCGTCGAACTCCAGCCCGGTTGACGTATTTCACCGTCATCTCAACTTGCCGGTGTTGAGGAGGCACCCTGAAATCGTTCAGGCCATTAATGCACCGATGGCCTGGGATGACACATAAACAGTGGTACCACAACAGCTTTTTAATCATGTAGAGGTTGATCTTTATAACACATAAACAGTGGTACCACAAAAGTAAAGAGGATAGTCTTTCAAGTCTCTGGAATACAAAAGAGAAGGCTTTGGCGTTGGTCCTCCATGATCGCCCATTCGCATGTACAGCCTGACATTGGGAACCAGTCGTAGATACTGCTGAAAGAGCGGCAAGTACTCCATGCAACTTGTAGCTGGTTGTTCCAGGACAGTCCATACAGCTTTTGCAGCAAGGATCAACAGCAGCACCAGGGCCCTGTTAGCCAGAATGGTTCCCTGCCGAACTGCATTGGAGTCCCTCCGGCCTAGAGGGTTGGCCGGCGAGCGGTGTGTGCTCCCACGTGACCTCAGAATGAACTTGTCCAACCGGTTTCCAACACGCAGAAACAAACCTCCAGGGTCAGATGTTGTATTACACCTTCTTGGTCTTCGATTGAAGGCCACGCGATTGAAAAGGGTTTGGACCCCCCCCTGCCCTACACACTTTGAGACAGGTGGCACAAGGACAAACGTCGAGCAAACAGGCGCCGAGAGATGTCCTGCCCCAGGCTTCAAATTGCAGCAGTGGAAGAGGGCGTTGGCAAAACCCTGATCACTCAGCAGGTTCATGTCCTCACTGATGCTGATGTCAAAGGGCACCGCACGCCGTCCTTCCTGCAAAGGCTACCGCTTGAGGCATAAGGGACTATAGAAGATTTCAGGACCACCCCTAATTCTGAATAAAAACCTGTGACACTTGGTGTGGACACACCCCACTCCTCCCACTCCCCACGGGTCACTGCCATGCTCTCTGCAGATCCACTGAAAGCCTCGAAGTGGTCGATCGGCTTCTCAAAGTCCAGACCCGGGACTGCGAAGACCAATCCCACCAAGGTGGCAATGACCTCCATTCCAACCCCAGCAACCCTCTTTTTGTTTAGAAAGGAAACCATTCTATAGGTATGAGGAGATATGAGGCTTCAGAAACATTTGCTCCAAACAGATCAAATCTTATTCAAAGCTCAGGCTAGATTCTGCTGGAGCTCTGAGATGGCGAAGGCCATTCATGATCCAGGCGCGCTGTTGGTCCCGCATCGAGACGGGCCGACGCTTCTTCTTATCTTTGGCCTGGGTGAAGGGCAGCTTCATGGTCGCCGTGTTGACTCGCCTCTCCACATCCTTCTTCTGGGGAACGCGTTTGACCATGTTTGCAAAGTCGGAAAATCAAAGATACTAGAGTATATAAAGGGTGCGTGTGCACATGGACGTTCATTCGACGTTCGCTTTACATGGGGTTGACATGTCCTGTGGAGACATGAGACCGTGTCCTGACAAAAGCTCTTTGAGCCGACTTCTCCCTTGGCAATACATATCTTTATGAATTACTTCTTGAATGTTTCCATGACCAAATAACACGTATGCGGTATATGATACTCGGTATATGATACGCGGTATTCTTTAACTATGGCTTTCCCGGTAGTGCACCCTGCTTGCTGGGTTAGAGCGATAGCCCCACACGCTGGTTTTGCATAGGCCGCCATTCGAAGTTCATAGACACAGCTGCCTGTCCCTAAACTTCAGACACTAAACTTCAGACATCCTGTGGATGCCATGAGAAGCGAAACCCAAGACAAGGGCACTCTCTAAGAAAGAACCCTTCATCGTACACCCCAAGATGTTCTTGCCACGGGCCATACATACAACAATTCAAGTTCCATTCAACTTGTCAGTCAAACATCTACAACTTTGGCACACTTCTACGAGCATTGCGCGGGTACATCCATGGCCCATTGACATCAAAAGTTAGCGCGGGCCTTCGTTTCAGCCCACGCACCAACTGGGCCCCCAAACTTGGACCATGAGACTTGTCCAGTTTTCTGGCCACCACTTGGTGCAGCTGCTGAACCAGCCACCCCGATCTTCTTCACAACATAAGCTTTGGTGAAAACCAAAACTTCGACCGCCTCGGGCTCCCAAGTTCTCTACACAATCTTGAAACCCTATAGATGAAACAAACACTGCAGTGACAGGAACATTGAAAAGCCTTCGATCAAGAACCCAAAACTAAGAAAACGCAATTGCTGAAACACAAGAAAGTTTCAGCCCCACTCGCACTGTGCAAAGTGTAGCTCCGCTTGCCCTTGTAGACGGCATCCTTCAAAGGACGTGCCTCCATAGGAATTTCTGCCAAAGACACCCCTTGGAAGGCATCATCTCTTTCAGGTTCAGGCGCCGCTGTTTTGAGCTTCTTGTTCTGCTTCACCTGTGAGGCCAACAGCAACATAAACCTAAACCAGTCTCCCCCAATAGTTCTGTCCTTGACCCACCCCGCTCCCCCCAAAACCTCCCACACACAAAGCCCAGTCACAGTGGTAGCAGGAACAGGCCGCAAGTCCGTTTGCAAAGCAGCGTTGATCGCATCTGCACTCTTGGGCTTGGAGCACGCTGGCGCCCTCTCCCAATCCTCGTCTGGTGGAATAGCAGCATCCAAGTTCATGAAGCTGAGAGCCCTCTTGAGAGGCCTGGTCTCCTCGCGTGATCAAATTCACCGTTCTCAACTTCATCAATTTTTTTGACTTTGATTAAACCTGAAGTCCCAACCCAAAATTCCAACCCTTAAGTGCAATCTTCTGACCCCACTCCTTGGAAGACTTGGCAGCTCCAGATCCATTGGATTCTGCGTTGTTCTGCCACAGCACTTTACCATTCAAAGGCTTGTCGCAGGTTGATTTGCTGCTTGAACATCTCTCCTGCCAGAGTTGTTGGTTAGCTTTGAAGAAACCATTTGTCCAACCCCTTTTTTGGAGAGCAGTAAAACTTAAAGGAGCTGACGAATTCACTCCTTGTCAGTCAGTTTGGCCTTTTCTTCCTCGACCCACTCCAAGTAGCACACGGCTGACGCCAAATTGGAGTAGATGAGCTCACCAAATCTGTGGAAGCATGAGCGAGCATACTCCAAGTATTGATTGAACACCGCGTCGTTGACGAGCAAGTTCTGAACTTTGCCATCTGGCAGGTCCCCAGAAGAAATCTTCATGGCCAAGTCTGTCTTCAGATCATCAGCCAGACTCTCAATCAGTTTCTGCTCTTTGCGTTCTTGCCGCCCATAGTGGTTGATCGCTTTTCCCATCCAACCAGATGAAACTTGCGAATCCCTGCAGTCACTGTCTTCGTCAGAAGCTTCTGACGCCAGAACCTGGTCTGCGTCAGAACAGTGCTCCTCTTCAGTCTCAGCAGCCGAGTCGGACTTGGGCGTGCTCACAGTGACAGCTGCGTCCTCGCTCCCCTCATCATCATCATCATCATTGTTGGAGCTCTCGTAGCCAGGAAGGACCAACGTGGTCTCTGAGTCATGGTCTGAAGCTTGATCTGACTCACGCTCGCCATCTGGACTTGGAGACTCTTCTTCTTCTTCATCATCCACAGGAATCGGCGCAGCGTCCTAAGTGTATCCAATCTCTCAAGCGCAGAACCACCTACAACACATGGCCACCTACAACACATGGAACATTGATAGACCTGACTGGCCCCGTTCTTGCGTAAAACTACAGCTGAGCATCTTCAGCTGGCGGCATCGCATCCTCATCGGCGCCTCGAGGAGGAGACGGTGCAAGGCAACTCTTCATGTCCTGCACCCTGGAATCATGGGCGTTGCCAGTGTTGCGCCATAGGTGGCGCAACGCTCCAATGCACCGTTTTGCTTTGACTCCTTCTCGACCCGCCAGGTAAGTTCTGTCTTCACCAGCCTTAGGTCGAAAGAGCTTTCGACCCAGCTTCTGGTCCAGCATCAAAAATGCATCGGTCAAGAAATATCCTGAAGGCACCTGCAGGCAAGGTTAAGACTTGTTTGCTCTCTCCCTTGGCTGTCCATACAACTCCAACTCCAAAACCGCGCCCTGAATGAAAGATCATTTCAGTAAACACCTACAGAGTCTACGTTTCCAAGCAGATTTCAACAAACAGCCACCTTGCGCGGCGAGTACAACACGATTGGCTTTAGCCAGCAGAAGTTATTTGCCAACTCTTGCGACGAAGGCCTTGCGATTGTGGACTCCAAGATGATAAGGTCCCCGCCGCGGTATGTGTCAGCCCGGATAACATCCACCACTGAAACAGGCAAGTGAGCGAGCATGGAAGATGCCAACTCTTCCTGGGGATCAAAAAGAAAGCCATTGTATAAATGCACGTCCAAGTTCAACCAAGTTTATGTTAAAAAAAGAAAATTGCTGAGAAACCACCCTGCAAGAAAATGTACTTCATCATGTAGTAACCTATAAGGCAAAGGGTCAACATCCTTCTCTTTCCAGCTCACCCGGCCAGGACCTTAACCGTGCACAGAAGTTCCTACCGTGACTCTCCCTGGGTTGGCGCAAACGCACAAGTAGTTAGTTGCAACCCACCCCCACATCGTACACTAAGCCCAAAACGAACTGAACGCCAAATGGATGGCTTGGGAACTTCAGGAACAGGAGCATCAGCAACGGGCGCTGCTTCAACAAGTGCCATTGCTTATAAACAAAACGTTCGTGCCTGAAACCCCAATTGCACTGCGAACGGACAGGCAGTTTCTGCAAGTGCCACCACACCAAAAACAGGTTCGCTGTTGGGTGTGCCTTTCTCACGCATAAAACCTCACAATGTGACTCAATGTGATTTTCATACGTTTCGTGTGAATATGATACGTCAACAAGGATATCGCAAAACCCGCTCGTGGCACCCTTGCTCACCCAGCCACCCAGCCTCCAATTCCTGTGGAATTCCCCTGGAAATGGCCAGCCCCCAACTCGGCCTCGGCGCCAGGCTTTGTGATTGTGGGATGAGAGGTTCTGATTGCGCGCTGAAGGATTCTGCAGAACTCTCGCAGAAAGAAGAGGTCAACATTTTTTTTGGCAGTTTTGTGAAAGAGATCTAAACAGTGAACAATGAACCTCAGAAATAACTGCAGTCCTTCAGTCCATCGATCGATGGCAGAGCTAGCTGCGTTATAGCTATGTTGAAAGGTTCTAAGGTGAAATAGCTAGGTTTTCGAGGTTCTAAGGTGAAATAGCTATGTTTTTCATGCTCAGCACTCTCAAGCTTTTGCTCAGGGCCAGACTCAACGCGTTTCACAACTTCGTCCACGCATGGCCGAGGTGAAAGAAATTGCATGAGGAACTCTTGGTCTAAAGTGGTGAACTGCAAGAAGCTTGACAACAAAAACAAGTAGAGTTGCAAATGGACTCATGGACTCTGCACACTTGGGATTGAAATCCAGCCATGACTCCAAAACCACAACTGCAATTGATACATTGCATCGCGGGCGCTGCGACATCTGGCTTCCAAAGTTGGGCCTTT